TTCCCAGCGGTGTCCCCCGAAATGTCCATCACTGCATCCCACCCCACTGCCCGAGTCAACCGCCGTGCCATCGCGGCGTCCAAACTCGCACCCCATTTCCCTGAGCCCCCCCAAAATAAGCATGCAATCAGAATTTCCTATAAAAAAATTATCCACTTGATATGCACATAGCAGTTTCCAGACGCGTGCCCCCACGGCCTTCCCCTCTCTGCCCGATCGCCATCTCGAAGGCCCCTTCTATGTAGAAATAAATCCTGGTGTCGCTCCCGCGGGGACCCCTTGGGCTGTCCTCTCCAGCCCCGTGGGATCTGGGGGACGGATTCATTCTGAAAGGGACCTGCCCCAGATCTGCAAGGGCCTGGGTCTCCGCCCAGTGGGCGCAATGACACCAGGCAGAATGGGGTGCGCGTCTGCCGGGGCCAGGGTGGAAGGTTTTATAGGGGATTTTTTTCCCTTGGGGTCTGGGGAGACGTGGACTGCTTCTTGGTGTGTCCCATCTGTTTGGTTGGGGGAGGATGCTTTTGTTTTAATGATTCAGGTGCACCTGGGAACTGTTTCCCGAGTTATGAAACTAGTGAGAAGGTTGTTCTGTGCAATGGAGCCCAACAATCCTGTGATATGTAAAGAGTGTGTCCTTTTCCATGTGTTTCTGTCCGTGGCATTTATTCAGCAAGCTCCCGTGGCTCCCACTGGCTGCCAGCGCTGTCTTAGGGTCTGAGGTTGCTTGCCTCACCCCTTTGCCTCAGCAGCCATTTATCCGGCTGTCCCCAGGCTGGAGAAAGCCCCTAAAAGGGGCTCACTCCATGACTCCTCTGGGCTTTCCGCGCTGCCGTGCAAGAGCCGGTGACTCCCCTAATTCTCCAATAATAGCTTCCTTATGAGGCGTCGGGAGGGTTTGTCAACTCCCCGGTCAGCTTTTCCTCACCACCCTCGCAAAAGCAGTGGGCAGCCTCTGTGGTCTTTGTAGTTTGCTTTTTGGAATCCCAAAGGACAGACTGTAAAAGTCTGGAGTCAACTTGTGATCATCTGAGGGGAGGGTTTCTGAAACTCGCTGGCCCTCTTTCCGTGTTTCTGATTGGACGCTTGGCAAACGTTGGTGCTCCCCTTTTGTGCCGGGGGCACCTCCGCGGTCAGACCGCCCTGCCCTGGGGGAGGTCACCTCCGCGAGCAGAGGTGCAGTTGCATAAATGCTCCCAGGTTTTGCGGTGATTCAAGCAGATACTGTGTCACGCGCTGTGTGTGCATGTGTGTGTGTGTGTGTGTGTGTGTGTGTGCGCGCGTGCGTGCGTGTGCGCGCGCGCGCGATTGTGTGTCGTTGTCGAGACAATTTCTATACAGGTCTTAGTAACAATTGTTTTTCTCGCATTTTCTAATCCTTGCCACTTTGGGGAGTGGGCTGCTAAGGAGGTGTTAAGGAGCTTAAAGGTGTGGCTGATCAGTCATTTAGGACCCCGCCCTGCCTTTGTTGTACTTTTCTGTCTCCTAGTAAAGACCCTTCCCCAGTGCCTCTGGGGTGGTCGGGTGGCCCTCCATGCCCCTCTCTCCCCGCCTGGCTGCTCTGCTATACTTGACCCTGCATTTCCCCTCCTCCTCTGTAGCGTCTTGCCCCTGCCCTCCTGAGCCCCGCCCCTTCCCCTGGCCCGGCCCAGCCGGGGCCTCAGCCCTGGGGAGCCCATCTGTTCCTTGGTTCCATCTGACACTCACCTGGCCTGTGGACATTGAGTTTTGAGCACTGGGGCAGGTTGCAGGAAGCCCCTAACTTGAGGGGGCTTTGGGTCTAGTGGGGGAAAGGGAGAGATGGGTGTCCCGAGGTGTGGGCACAACTGTGCTGGCGGTGTGGTGCCCACTGCCCCAAGGGGCCTGGCTCGGAGTGGGCAGCACGGGGTGAGAGGGGTGAGGGCCGAGGTGTGGGCAAATGACCATTTCCGGCTGTCTCTCTTCCCGGGATCTGGAATTGTGGGGGGCAGGTTCAGAGCTGTGAGACCCTGCGCCAGTCACTTGCTCAAGAACAAAGCTGGGCGGGGGGGCAGTCACTAAACCTTCCCAAGCCCACTGGGCAGGGGCTGGGGGAAGGGCGCAGAAAGCAAAGGAACTGCGGGCAGACTGCACGACTGTGAGGTCACCCCCTCCGCCCCACCCCATGCTTCTCTGCCAGTTCCCGGGGGGTTCCTGGCTGCGCTCCAGGTACCTGTCCCCCCACCGCCCGGGCTGCTCAGTGGGACCTCACCCCCACAGCTCTGACCTGCCCTGCCCCGGTCCCTCCACTTCTGGCTGAGGACACCGGACGGAGGAGAGGGGCTGAACCTGGACTCCTTTCTGACCTGTGTTCTTGTTGGTGCCCCTGGATTCCTGTCCTTGACTCCATTCCCCAAACAGAGTCTGAAAGATCCGGGTTCACATCCCTCCTCTGGGGCATGACTCTGGGCCTTGCTTTCCTCATCTGTAAAATGGGTATATAAGAGCCCATGCTGGGTCATTGAGGGAGTCAAAGGGGATGAGAGTCACTGTGGCTTCACACAGTGACAGGGTGCTCTGAACCTGGCGCTGATTTCTTACTAACGTCAGGTCCCTTCCTACTCTGCCCCATTCACGTTCAGGGCTGGGTCGTTCTCTGTGGGGGGTCTGTCCCGGGCACTGTGGGGTGTGGAGCAGCATCCCTGGCTCCCACCCTGTTGATGCCAGGAGCAGCCTTACCCCCACAGTTGTGACAACCACCGATGTCCCCAGACATAGCCCAGTGTCCCCTGGAGGGTGCAGTTGCCCCCAGGTGGCCCTCTCTCACTTAACCTTTAAGCCCCCTTTAAGCCCCCTTTAAGCCCATGGCAGCCTGATATTTGGCCATGACCCTGATTGACCTCAAGTTCCAGGTCCGTTTGTCCCTTTCCTCCCCTCCCCCGTCTAAAAGGGAGGGGCTCATATTTGCAAACTATGTCTGGCGCACACTCCTCGGCCTGGCTGTCCAGGTCTTTCCTACTCTGTCTCCTGGAGGAGAGGTGCTCACCTGCAAACGTGCCCACCACGGGCCGTCAGGCGTGGTGTGGGGGTCTCCCGAGCCCCTGCAGGGCCCCCCACAGGCCATGTGGAAACATGCTCCCGGGATCTGGAAGCGTGGTGGGCAGGTTTAGCGCTGTGTGACCCCTGCCTGTCCATCGGCTTTAACAGTTTGCTTCAAGTCGGCTTTGAGGTGACTCGCCCCTTTCATCTTCCCTCTTCATGAGCAATGATGCCTGAGGTCACGGGACTGTTACTGTGCCGGGTGCAGGTACTTTTACATAATGAAATGAATTTAACTACAATACTTAAAAAAGCCTGTGCCACCTCAAGACTAAGGCCTGAGCGGATCCATGAACTGATGATTGTGGGGTTGGATGGATTTTTTTTTTTAAGGCGATCATATGTTTTATTTATTTATTTATATTTATTGATTGATTGAGTTTTGCCTGCATTGGGTCTTTGTTGCTGCACGTGGGCTTTCTCTAGTTGAGGTGAGCGGGGGCTGTTCTTCCTTGCAGTGCGCAGGCTTCTCATTGAGGTAGCTTGTCTTTGTTGGGGAGCACGGGCTCTAGCTGTGGGGGCTTCAGTAGTTGTGGCACACGGGCTCACTAGTTGTGGCTCGTGGGTGCTAGAGCGCAGGCTCAGTAGTTGTGGCGCATGGGCTTAGTTGCTCCGCGGCATGTGGGATCTTCCCAGACCAGGGCTCGAACCCGTGTCCCTGCATTGGCAGGTGGATTCTTAAGCACTGCGCCCCCAGGGAAGTCCCATGGATTGGTTTTTGAGTTTACTCCCTGCTTTGATTTGTTCTGGGAGCATCTTGGGGGCTGGATAAGGCGTCCTGACTAATCTGTCAGTTCTCACTATTGCTCCCTCAAGGGACTTTTAAAAACTTGAAAAACGGTCTTCCTTTGCTCAGACCCTCCAGTGGCTTCCTGTTGTCCTTGGGAAAGGCTGCAGACCCTTTCCATGGCCTCCCTGTTCTGTCCTATGAGGTGCTCTCCACACCACCCTCCCCCCCCAAGCCCCGTGCCTGCTCCCTTCAGTCGAAACCACTTTACCTGCCTACTTTTCCCCACCTCAGGGCCTTTGCACTTGCTGTTCCCTCTGCCACAGTGTTGTCCCCTCAGGTCTCTTTGTCACTCAGGTCTCGGCTCAGAGAGGCCATCCCTGACCTCACTGCCCAAATTCACCCTTCCATCCACTCTCTCTCCCCAACCTGCCTTTTATTCTTTGCATTCAGCACTACCAGAAATTTGTATCAATCTGTTTATGTACTTATTGTCCATCTCATCCACTAGGGCAGCAGCTTTTCCTGTAAAGAGTTAGAAAGTAACTATTTTCCGCTTTGTAGGTGGGACTGTCTCAGACCTGACCTCTCTGCTCTGCTGTTGTAATACAAAAGTACAGAAACCAACAACTGTGCCTTTGTTCCCATAAAACTTTATTTATGGACACAGAAATGTGAATTTCACATACTTTTCACATATGATGAACTATTTTTCTTCTTTTGATTTTTTTTTTCCCCCCATCAAACCATTAAAAACCGTCAGAACCATTCTGGGCTTGTGGGCCATACGGAAACAGGCAGTGGGCTGGATTTGACCTGTGGGCCATAGTGTGGGAGCACCTGCAGTAGGGTGTGAGGTTCCCGCTGTGGGAGCGACATCTGTCTTGGTCGCTGTGTGTATCCCCAGCACCTCAGGCAGTTCCTGCCCGCATCGGGTGTTCAGTAAGCATTCATTTGTTGGATGAATGAATTTCCATCTTTCCTGCATCCAAGTATTTAGAATCATACTCTGTATGTTAAAAAACGGATCCTGGATTGTTTTGAGGAAATTTAAAGTGCAGGGAATATAAGAAAATGCTATGATCCCATTCACCAAAACAATCTCAAAATTGAGAAAAGAGTAGATGTAGGGACTTCCCTGGTGGTCCAGTGGTTAGGACTCTGCGCTTCAGCTGCCGGGGGTGTGGGTTCCATCCCTGGTCGAGGAACTAAGATCCCTCGTGCCACACGGTGCGGCCAAAAAAAAAAAAGTAGATGTAAACAGGGGCAAATACTTCATTGCTGGCAGTGCCCCACCTTTCCGTGATGCCCCCTTTGTATTGCACCTGTGCAGGCAGCAGAAGATTGAGGAGTGTTCTGGGCCTAAGGAGTTTGTTTTGACCTCACAGAAGCTGAGGGTTTAAAAGGAAGACACTGTTTCCCAATCCTCTTGTTTTGTAAGCATCTGGCCCATCCTCTTTACCAACACCAGCGCCCCTTCCGAAGGGGCAGCGGAGTCCTGAGAGGAGGTTGCTGCAGCCTTCCGGCCGCTGGCCTGCCCGGGAACACTCGTGGAGAGATGGCTCTCGTGTGTGTGACAGTTGAGCTTTGTGGGGTGAGTGGATGGGAGACGGCTGTGGGGCAGTGCGCCGGCCTGTGTCGGGAGCGGGACTGTGCCGACCTCGTGCCCTTGGCCTTGCTCCCCACCGTGGACACTGGCTGACGAGTGATTTCCCAGCCAGGCAGATTGTTAGCGTCTTAGATCTGGGTCTGTCCCAGGAGTGTTCTGACTTGTCAAGGAAGCATACCGTTAATTTACGGTCATGCCTTCTCTAGCTGATTGAAATAAACAACCTGGAGAGGATTACTCAGAACTTCTTGGCTTTCCAAAGTTGCTGTCCTTTTTTTTTTTTTGCTGGTCTCTGTCTTTCTTTGTTCCTCCTCCATCTCCCCCTTCCTCCTTCCTTCCCTCCCCTCTTTTCTTTTCTCATCCCACCTCAGTGGCTCCCGTGGACCCGAGGGCATTGATGAAAAGTTTGCTTTGCCGTCTTTGCCCCACGGGAGGCCTGTAGCTCTGGTGAAGCGGAGTCACTCTGGGCCTCGGGTGTGTTTTGTTCAGTGGACAAAGAATAAGAATCAGAAAGCAAGGCGCCAAGGGCTGCTGCACCCCGAATGGGTCTCTGGGTACAGAGCGGAACCAGAGCTAATGTGGGTTTGGCCCCGGCTGCCAGCACTAGCGATCACGGCTCCTATTCTCAGATGAACCTGTACAGCGAGCTGTGAAGAGGTGATCTGCGGGTGGGGCGGCAGGATCTGTCCCAGGACCCACTTCCCTCCTGTGTTTGCAGTTGCACCCAAGTGACGGCACCTTCTGGGCAGGTAGGGGTGGAGGTGGGCCCACCTTCATGGTTTCGTGGCTGCTCGCTCCAGTCTCGGGAGAGAACGTGGAGAGAAGTGATTCGTGGAGGATGAGCTGGCAGGGGATCCGGAATTGTGCTTTGTGCGGAAGGAGAGCAGGGATCCCGGAGGCCTCCTTTGAGCAGGAGCCAGCCTGAAGCCGCCAGCCGGCGCAGTGACGGCGACAGGGCTGTGCCGGGGGTGCCCCGGACCACGCGTCGGGTGGAGAGGGGCCGTGTGCTGGGTGGCCCACTTGGGAAGGCGGCAGCCTGGGAGCTGCCTCCAGGATGCATGCAGGACCCTGGCCAGGCAGCTGGACTGGGAGTTGCCGCTGGCCCCTTCAGATCCCACTCTTTGCCCGTTCTGTCGTTTATTTTATTTCTTATTTTTTTGGCCACACCGCTCGGCTGTGGGATCTTAGTCTCCTGACTAGGGATTGAACCCGGGCCCCTGGTATGGAAGCGTGGAGTCCTAAACACTGGACCGCCAGGGAAGTCCTCCGTTCTGTGCTTTAAACCCCCCTCCATCAGAAAGGCTAGCATCCGCGGGCCAGCTTCCTACCTTGGCCCTGGAGCTGCATGGATCTGATTATCTCTGCCACGGGTCGGGAGAGAGCCTTGCTGTCTCCAGCTTGCGTGTGAGTGAAGTCCCTGGAGTTGAAACTCCGGCTTCCCTGCTTCGTTCCAGCTCCTACCCCCAAGGAAGAGGAGGGAGCCGGTGAAGAAAGCGAGCTCTCTGACACCCTCTCGGGAAGGAAGGCTCTGGTTTGCCCGCCTCCTCGTGTCCTGGCTGCTCCATGGGCAACCTGAGCCCATTCTGAGCTGGAGACTGAGGGGCAGCGCTGTCCTCGAGAAATGGGCTTCTCTGCACGTCCAGACCCCCGTGCCGGGCCCCACGGAAGGAAGGGTGGTCAGCCGGCCGGTGGACAAGCTGCGGCTGGGGTGTGTGGCGTAGGTAGATCCAGGCTGGCTGCGGCGGGGAGCAGGGGTGGAGTGGCCTCTGTAAATGCCCAGCCATGCTGTCCGCCAGCCTTGAGGTGAAGATAGGAAATCGGGAACCGCCAGCAGGCCTCCCATGTGGCTCTCGGCCAGGTGGTCAGGAGCTTGGTTGCGCGATCCACCAGGGCTGAGTTTGCAGCAGATCCGCCGCCGTCGGGCGTGTGCCGAGCCCGGGCCTATCAGTGCGTCTGCTGTCACCCAGCGGAGAGCGCCAGTCGTCTGGCCCGCATGCACGAGGCCAGCGGCTCAGTGTCTCTTGCCCACAGCGGGTCCCAGCCTGTGATGAAAGCCTAGAGCCGGGATCCCGAGAGCAGTGGGGACGGCAGGGCCTGGGGGAGCAGAACTGCCGGGACAGATGCAAACCAAACACAGGGCCGGGGCCGTGCTTGCTGGCTCGGGTGGTGGCCCGGGAGCGGCAGAAGAGTTGCCACCTGAGCCGAGCCTTGTCGTCATGGGTGAGGTGAACAGCAGGCAGAGGAGCAAGGACTTGGAGGGGACACTCAGCGCACTGCCTGGGATACCCTCGCGGAGGAAGCAGGGGAAGCCGGGGTAGCCCTCCAGTCTGTCTCTCGGGCAGCTTTGGGGCCCCCCTGTGCCAGGCTCCAAGGGGTAAAGTGGAAGGGGCCAGCAGCTCTGCCCTCAAGGAGCGTAGAGTCTAGTCAGCAAGGCCAGACCAGAGGTGTTCAAGTCACGTGGGAGCCACGGACGGCTGCCCAGATATTGGCTCTGGTGTGCTGACGACTAGATCCCAAGTTTTCTAGGACAGCCCCTCTTCAAATGCTCCTGCCCTGCCTTTTTAAAAATATATTTTTAATTGTATAATAATATTCATATACCATAAAATTCATCCTTTTAAAGGGGACAGTTCAGTGATTTTTAGAACATTTACAGAGTTGTGCAACCATCACCTTTATCAAATTCCAGGACATTTCCCTCACCCCAAAAGGAAACCCCATACCTGTTTAACAGTCACTCACCATTCCCCGTCCTCCTTGGCAACCACGAACCCACTCTCTGTGTCTGTGGATCTGCCTGTTCTGGATGTTTCATGTGAATGGAATCAAACACTGTGTGTCCTTCTGTGTCTGGCTTCTCTCACTGAGCATCGTGTCCTCAAGGTCCGTCCACATGGTAGCGAGTGTCAGGGCTTCTCTCCTCTTCACGGCAGAGTGATGTGCCCGTGTGTGGGTGGACATGCTGTGTATCCACTACCTGCTGTGGGGATCTAGTAGTTTCTACGTTTTCCTGCCCCTTCTTTTCCCCCCGCCCCCCGCACTGGAGTTCCAGAATTCCAGGGCTGTGGCGTGCAGAATGCTCATCCAGTCGGCCCCCAGCAGAGGCAGCACCAAAACCCTCTGTGAGGCTACAGCCTGAGGGCTGGGGTGGGGAGGGGTCGGAGAGGGAGGCCAGAGTCAGGAGGCCCGACCGTCAGGCGTGCTGCCCCAGCTCACCTGCAGGAGGCGCTCAGGCCGCCCTTTGCATGCGCAGGTTCTGGACTCCAGCGTTCACCAGTGATCCTCACCTCTCTGCCCTCCGTTGCCTCCAGCTGGTTCTGGGCAGGGCCCCCAGGGGGTGGGCTGTGCTGGCCTAGCCTCGCTTGGTGGCTCGGTCCCCTGTAGTACCTCTCTGTGCGTCCGCTCCGCGGAGCAGCGTGGCTCCGGCCCCCGCCTCCTGGGCTTGTCTGTTTCCTGTGCGTTCTCCTCCCGGTGGGCAGCGCTGGGGCTCCCTGCCCCAGAGTCCACCAGGGCCAGAAAGGGGGTGTCCTGTTTGCTGCCTGCCCCCCTGCTGGCCTGATTGGCTGAGTGTGGTCCAAGCCCTGAGCGGGCTCCCCGAGAGCTTCACGTGGCTCGGCATTAGACTACACGTGCCCTCCTTTCCAAGCCCCACCCCCCCGCAAGCCCCCACGTGTCTGGCCAGTAGGTTTGAACGCGAGCTGCTTCCTGGGCCACTTCCCTTCCCTGGTCTGCCCGGCCCCGGCACGGTTGTGGGTTGTACCTTAGAAGGCAGCCACCGGGTTGTGAACATCCCCACAGAGCCACCAAGCAGAGTTCTGCAGGTGATGGCTCCTGCCCAGGCATCCAGCATCCTCAGTGGATAAAGAGGCAGCCGGCTGCCCCCTTGCCCTCCAGGGGAAGTGCCGTCACCATGCTGGGCCATTTGGAAATGCAGCTGGGCTCTCCGGGGACCGTGAGGGGACAGATGGGGTGTGGCCTCATAGCAGGGCAGAGCCCAGCCAGCTCTGGTCCTCCCACTGGTGTTGAGGACAGTGACGTGTGTGAGAGACTTGCTGTCCCCTTAGCAGAGGATACGGGAGACCCGGGGGGGGTCCCAAGTGCCAGGGAGCTGCTCGTGGCACCGGGAGGACACCAGGGGAGACACAGGTGGACGCTAACGGAATGTCACCTGGTGAAACGTCAGGCTCTGTACGGTGCCCCCCGCCCCTCCCCGCCAGGCACCAAAACAAACTCCAGTGGATCTAAGACCTGAATGTGAGAACTGAGATGACAAAACCCTCAGAAGAAAACAGGCGAAAGTGTAAACCGACAGCTTTTCTAAGGCAGTGCTGCCCAGTAAAGACGCAAAGCAAGCCCCATGTGTCCTTTAAAGTTTTCTAGAAGGTGAAAAGAAGCGGGGGAAATTAATTTGAGTAATGTATTTTATTGAACCCAGTATACCCAAAATGTTATCATTTCAACGTGTAATCATTATAAAAGTTGTTAATGAGTTATTTTCCACTCTTTTTTTAAAATTTTTTTTTGTGGCGCTGTCTTTGATATCCTATGTGCATTTCACACCTAGCGCTGGTCCTGGGTGAGCTGAGTGCTGTGTTGGGGCCGGGAATGCTATAAAGGGGATGCCTGGTGCTCAGTGGAGGCTGGGCCCCGCCATCCCCCCATCGCATTCCCGCCTGCCTGCCCAGCCCATCAGAAGTTATGGATCTGTTAGCCTCTAGCTGGGGAGACGAGACAGTCGCAACATGAAGCAGCTAGGGCCATGTGAGGGGCCAGTGCACCAGCCTGGCCTGCAGGATGTCAACTGGAGGGCCAGCCCCAGTGGGCAGGGTGGTGTGGCTGTGGCCTCAATCCTTCCTGTGGAGCCTTGTACGCAGCCTCTCATCTTTAACGGGAGCTTGAAACCTTGGCCTGGCTGTGAAGGCTGATGGGTCCTGTGGCTGAGCTCAGGGCAGTGCGTTTGTGGCATGGATGCTGGCCGTTCTGGG